CGCGTTTATTAGCGTGGTTGGTAACGTGCCATTTGGCGGATTATCGTTAATGTTATCTCGCATTCTGCATAGATCCCGCGTTTTTCTCGCTCCTAAGCAAGAACTACGATCATCCAAGACGCAGCCGCGAGTAACAAACACGATCTGAGCCGCAACTTTTGAATAATTTACGTCACCACACCCCGCAACATCCCTATTAATCATTCTTGGGGGATGATGAAATAACACTGCATTTAACATAACGACCACCGGGACATTTGTCCAGGTAGCATCGCGTCTCAATACGAACTTACCTTGGCTGGCCATGGTGGATAACCTCGAACTTTGGCGAATACCTTGTCACCGGCCAAGAATCTTTTTAATAGCTTCACCATGATGACTACGAATAATCCGTTATTGCGACACTGATCCGCTTTATCGTATGTTTTTGATCGTTAAACGTTACAATAATGATGTGGCGTAGTTAATTTTGCAGACGCATCGCACAAAACACCGCAACAACCGCCATTTGCACGACAAATATCGAAAACACGCAGAAGAGATACGACGCTCAGCTCGGATTGGCGGGATTAACCGTGGCGTCAACGAGTGGCTGATCTACCGCGCAAAGTCGAGTAAAGCAGTGTTGCCAGTTGTAGGGATTTAATAATTGATCTAAAAGGTGATCAGCAGTTCTCTGAAAAAAACGAGTATTAAAAATTCAAAGGAATATTATCTATTAAAGGCCTATTATTGTTCCATCTTTTGGTAAATTTTATCTGTGAGGTAAATCTGGTAATCCGCGCATGTAATTGGATAATCTTGCTACTTACTCAACAGGTAAAATTTACCAAAAGGAAAAATCAACTCTAAAGCCTTCTGTCCACGATGCTAGAAATCGGTCCTCAGATCAAGAAAGAATTGACCAATCGCAATGATTATGTGATCAAATTGTTCAAATGTGATTTGTTAATTTTTTCTCTGTCCGAGATCTCGAATCAATTTCTAGCATTATGGACATCGGGCTTAAGAGATCAGAAAATGTTATTGTAACGTAAGAATTTCAACCAAAAAATTCAAAAATTTTATCAGAAATCATGTATTGTGGAATACACAGTTTCTGATAGGTTGAAATTCTTATTCTCTATTCCTTTTATTATGCGGAGTCCCTTATTCTTAAAAGGTTTATTAATTTTTTACAAATATATATCATAACGTATATTATTAAAAAAAAATTTCGATCGCCATTTCGATTTAGGCTATGGTCAAAGTCTCGCTATAAATGCTTTGAAACATTTGATGGACTAATTGGAAAAAAGAATTTTACAAACTGACCAATTAAAAAACGCTTCAAAGCGTTTGAAAAAAGTTTGTAGCATCACGTTGACCATACTCTTAGTTGTCTGTTCAAAGCGCTTAGTATTATTAATGAATATCATTCGTCAATTTTGACTACGTGATTCTTTTTGTCGCTAAAACAGGAAACAGCCGGTTTGAACAGTTCGTGAAAATTTACCTTAAGTTCCGAAAGTGTAGTGTTACTAGTGGTTTGTTTTCTGTTTCTGCACTTAGCTGCATTAGAAGTCTCTTGCTTTCGACGAATATCAACATATACTTATATATATTTCACTTCAAGTTCCAAAAGTTTACACTGCTTCAACTATAGAAAACACTTTAATTCTTAGTTCAGCCTGTTCAGTCACAGAAAATAGACCTATATATAATTATTTCTCAGTTGTGAAACTGTTTTATATTTTTAATTTTCATTATATTTTCATTATATTTTTAATTTTCCAATACATGCAGATAGGCAAAAAAATTGATTTCAAAGCATTAGTCGTAATATCAATGCTTACAAGCGTGCACGAATTTGCAGCGACCATTTTACAGAAAATGATTATAATAATAATAAAAAAAGAAATAATTAAAGAAAATTGTAGTTCCATCTGTTTTTACACAAAAGTAATAATATTTTTTAATAAGATATTTTGTATTAAAATATAATTACAATATTTTATAAATATGTATACATAAAACATCTGATATAAATGTTTTTCTAATATATATTTTTATGTACAATAGAATTTTGTGAAAATGTAAAAAAAGACTTGATAATTCCTTAAGAATTGATGAAATCCAACATGACAAATGACTCGACAAGCAGCATTCAATGTGACGATCAAAATAAATCAATAATAAGCCTTTGTAAATCTACGATGGCTATTCAACATAATAATCAAAATGAATCAATGAACATCCTACACGAATTTCCAATGGATATTCAAAATGAAGTTATAGTTTTTAATGAACCAACACATGTCACAAGTCAACAAAGGTAAATACGAAAAGGCATTTCAATTTATTTTAATTTGTAAATATTGTCAATAAATTTTTTGTTTCAGAAAACGGTTTAAAATTAATAAAACAGAAAAGATATTTTTAAGAACTGGTAAATATAATATAGAATGTTTTAAAAAAATTGAGTTTACTGAGCAATCATGGATTAAATTTGCAAAATATATTCATTATAATAGACACTTAAACTTTTAGTAACAGAAAACAAACGTTTACAAGAGAACATTTTAGAAATGCAATTTGTAATACAAACATTAATAAATACAAATTCGTTAACAAATAATGTCATTTATACTCCGCAAGATGACGATGATGACATTGTATTACTTAATACTATATTATCTGATGAATATGTAAGAAATGAGCAAAAATTTAATGAGCAGCAAGAAGCAAATGTTGAAGCAAAACAAGGTTCTATAAATGTTTATATGGATCATGATTATTTTATACGAATTAATTGGTACTTGACTGAATATGTTGAAATAATAATTACATATATATCTGACTATATAGTTTCAACTGTTATAAAAAAAATTAATTGCCTTTTTTGTAAACAATTGCTCATTTCAAGTAAGGCACATAAGGAATCAAATACATTTATTGACAAGCTGTATCAAGCATCATGTGATGTTACTGAAATATGCAAGACAGCAGAAAAAATTTTAAGACATAATCAAGACAAATTATTTAAAACTGACAATATATTAGCTGATTTAATATGTCAATCTTTACGTGTACTTCCTTCAAATATATTTAATATGAGTAAACATATTGAACATACTGTTACGTGGTCATTTGATCATCGAAGTCAATTAATACAACTAATTTTGAAAAATTTTTTAAATGTGCGACTTAAGCATGAAATTACATTTGCAAATTCCACTTAAAGAATGCGAATGAGAAATAACAAATAACATTTTTTTAATCTAATAAAATTAAAATTGTCATATAAAAAAATTTTAAAAAGTTTTTTTCTAATATTATTTACTATTGATTATATCAGGGTGTATCTTAAATAGCGCCCACTAATTGTATAGCGTTATTATTACTGTTAAAAAATTGAGTAAAAAAAACCTGAATCATTTTTTTTTCTACAACGCTCAAATTCAAAGCAGTTATTACCAGAGTAAAGCTAATCCAATTAGTGCTTCTTTCAGTTATCCAGACGGGCGCACGTCTATCACGATAATTGCTTTCTGTAATAACCAGGATTGGCAAAGATTAATGTGTTTTTTTTTTAAGAATAAATCATTTTTCTTAAATATGTTTTTAATGCTTCAAATATGTTTTAAACAGCTGTATTATAAAAAAACATGTTTTTTACCAATCTTGATAATAATTGTTTTATTTTGCATTGTAGAAAAAAATACCTGAGGACTATGTTTTAATTTTTGATGAGAAATAGCGCTATAGATATATGATTAGTGGACGTAATATTTAAGAAACACCTTTTGTATGTTTACTACTATTAAATATGTTATACAGAGTATCTACAGATAACACAATGCTCATATACAAATAAAATGGACTAATGACTCTTGCACACAGAACTTAGCAACGCTTTCCACGCAACAGAAGTTGAATAATCAGTTTATCACTTTTCCATAAAGGTATAAAACGATTTTTTGCTGCGCTAACTTCCGCAAATGTTGCCGCATTCTGTTCACCTCTGTGCAGTTTTGCACTAGTACAATTTAAGAATATCTGTTTGTTTTAATATATAAATCTACCTCAATTTATCGAAATAAGATTAATAAATTAATGTTCCTGGCTATGAGAGTAATAGAAAGCCTACATTAGATTAAGCTACTCTATAAGTTCAATCTTTGAAAAGGATACAATATGATATATATGCAAGTACATATATAGTGTATATTAATAATTCAAAATTGAATTATTTAAAAGTAATGAAGATCCAGCTTTGACCGTAATAGGCATTTACTAATATTTTTTGTTTATTGAAATTTAAAAATTGTATACTGTTCAATTACTACAATAAACATACTTAAAAAAAAAATGATGAGCGGTCCTATCTCGCCACGCACTTGTACTTGGTAGTACTATTCAGCAATCTTTAGTAATTAATATCTCGTTAACTATTGCGAAATTTGTAAAGACTCTTTGACTCGGTTTAACCAATTTTACTTGCATACGAGCATTGTGTCAATAATATTAGATACTCTGTATATTTAAATGACATAAAGAAAGATTTTCCCGTAATGTTTTTATCAAAAATGTTATTTTTTTCTTAAACGGTCTAGCTGGATCTTAAGTGATTGTATTTCTATATTTCTCACGTACAGTCCTATAAGATATGAGTGTTTCTCATGTATGATCCTAAGATATATTGTTATTTTTTCCTTATGGCTGTAAAAAATCTAGGCGTATTTAAGGCTGTGAATAAAAAACTGAGACTAATAATGAAGCGAAATAAGCAGTTCAACAATTTACGATAATTTGGTTTATAAATTGTCCTTTACTCGACATTCGGATACAGATCTTTTTTGTTCGGAGTCTAACGGAATCTTTTCTCTTTGCTCACGAGATTAGTCGCTCGTCTCAATACTTTTCGACATCTTTCTAAAATAATCAAAATATTATTTCGGCAAGTCATTGTTATTTATCGTGGTTTACATTTATAATTTTAAATAGAGACGTTTAAGCTCCCGAAACAATTATTTACCTATGAGATGAAAATTATGGAATTACTTTATACATTTATTTTAACTGAGCGATAAACTATGCAGAAGAAGATACTCGCAATCGTATTAATAGAAATGCAAAAATAGAAAATGTTTAAATGTTTATTATCTTTGCAAAACAGAGTTAGTCAATGTATAAATAATATAATGTATGAAGTATATACAATATATATATATATATAT